ATTCCTTGACAATGAGCTCGCGGGAGAGTTTGAAACGTCGGACAAATACACTCCTGGTCCCAGAGAACGACTTATCTTCTTTAAACAGGATTGTAATACTGATTGGCTTGTAAAGTAATCCTAATACAATTTAATCGCGTCACGATATCAGCTTTCAAACGAACTCCATACTGGATATCTGCCAAAATGGTCCCTATTGCAAACTCCTTGTTTAAGTAGTATGCTGTCATCTGATTAATTTTCGATACCCTTGCAAACTTTGATAAATTATATAGAAAAAAGCCTGAAAGAACTCCGTCTTGCTCTCGCTTGTGAGTAATCTGAGCCATTTCCAAGCTCTTCCACTTAAAGAAAAAGTATCTTGCGGTTTCCAAGAAGGTTTCATATTGATGTGCTCACTCTGTATTTGGACAAGTCAACCCTTCTTTACGGTATGAGAGAGAGGTCACATGGTTCTCATTACATTATGCAATGGACTTTAATCATGTTGCATACATAATAGGCAACATTAATAAATTGAGGGGTATGCTGTATTATTGATAAGCGTTTTATGACCCAAAAAGTCTCTAAAATAGAACCCTTTTAAATACCGAAGGATACCTTTTAACCAAGTATAACATTTGAAGGAAGCATAATTGGCTACCAACAAAGTTCAGGAAATGCCACTTTTGCGTTCGTTTTCTCTAAGCTATATTCGGATACGTAAGGGCATTAAAAAGCAATGAAACAAATGCATACGATAAAATGGCCATTGTGTCATAGACTATACGTTTTTCAGATGTGAGTTGCACCAATAGTGAAAAAACTCGAGACGTTCGGCGGGACTAATGCCTCGAGTTTTTTCACAATTGCGTCAACTCAAATTAAGCAAATCTGCCAAACCTTCTTCTAGTTTTGCAGATGGTGAAAAGAGGCTTTTGCAAATGCCGATATCCTAATGTGACTAAAATGTATTTGCATTGGGTTATACAGTAATCAGTATTTGAACCCTACTTGGCCAACTTTTTCGAATCAAAACACACTCCAGAATCTTGCCTCTCGTTTCATTGGATAGGGAATCTAGTCTAAAAACAGCTGGCTTTAGTCTTCATGTAAATTTTCTGCGTTTTGACAGTTATGGTGTAGGAGTAATGGAATAACTCACTATCCATGTAGGCCTTTTTCAGGGCCTCTATTTCCTCATTCGTGGATGTGCAAATGACGTCAATGAGGACCTGTTCGTCAGTGCCCGCGCCCTTTACGGCCTGGTAGCAGGCCCTGGCATTAACGTGAGCCATGTCGTAGAATGAGTAGAGGACTGCGCGTCGGAAATTTCCACTCAATTCGCTGTCCAAACGATCCTTGAGGTCCTTTTGAAGTTAATTTTAAAGAGCAGAGTGTTTCAAAGTGAAAACAATGCATAACTGCACTAAAGATAATACGAAATCGCCTAACGTGAGGAGCATCGTAGCTCATCTTTGGATTAGAATATTCATCATACTTGCGAGAAAATATGCTTGAATGCGGCTAACTTACCTTTCCATAGCTTGATTTGTAGGTTACTGCAATTTGCTGGCGTTGTTTAACAGAACGCTTCGACAGCAGATCGATGATGGCCTGTTCGTCCGTGCCTAATAGCGGAATAAGCTTTTGGTTTCAACTGAAGCACCACTGTCTTTGTAAAGCATTCTGGTGCACATGATAAAACTTATGAGGTAGTCTTAATACAATCTGATAGAAACAGCTAAATGATTAAGAAAAATAAAATGGAGGTAGTGTGGGGAAACAAATTAAACTGACCAACTCCTCTCATGGCTGCTTGCAGGGCCGCCGCATCTTCGTGTGGGTCGATTTGCGGAGGTGGAATAACGGTGCCTTTATTAGACATGATTTCTTGTAAAATAAAATGGACCGTGCAGATGACAATGGCAATACACATAAGCATTTGCGCACTGAACAGCCATTAGACAATATGCTGCCTTCGTTTGCATCTTCAAGCTTCTCGTACGCTACAGATCGCCCCATACACTCAATGGTAACATACGCATGGATACGAAAGAAGTATAATAAAGGTGTATAGAAAATAAACCTAAATGAATGTCTTGTAAGTCAAACTTCGGCAGCAGTTTATGGTTAATTTGCGCGGCACTTACATCGAAATTAGTCAAAAGTGTGGAAAAATGTTAAGAGCATTTGCACTTTAATACCTCTTGCTAGTTTCACTGACATACCTCGACTACGGTGACCAATACTCGAGAAGTTGATATCTGATTGGGGGG